AGAAGTGAAGCCATGAACCCTGAGAAGATGGAAGGAGACGGCGAGGTTAGGCTTCCTTTATTTTTCTTTACTTTTTTGCACTTATCATGATAGTTTTTTTCTCTCTTTCACTTGTTTAAATTTTTATCTCTATATCTAATCCCCTCTCCCTTTCTCTCTCTCTCTCTCGCGTTACTTTTGCTCCGTTCCCTTGCTCTCCCTAAACCGTTGTCTGTGATTTAATTTCTCTCTCTCTCTCTCTCTCTCTCTCTCTCTCTCTCTCTCTCTCTCTCTCTCTCTCTCTCTCTCTCTCTCTCTCTCTCTCTCTCTCTCTCTCTCTCTCTCTCTTTCTCTCTCCTCTCCCTCTCTCCCTCCCCCCCCCCCCTCTCTCTCTCTTCTATCTTTCCTCCTCTCTCTCCTCTTCTCCTTTCCTCTCTCTCTCTCCCCCCCTCTCTCTCTCTCTCTCTCTCTCTCTCCTCTCTCTCTCTCTCTCTCTCTCTCTCTCTCTCTCTCTCTCTCTCTCTCTCTCTCTCTCTCTCTCTCTCTCTCTCTCTCTCTCCCTCTCTCTCTCTCTCTCCCTCTCCCTCTCCTCTCTCTCCCTTCCCTCTCCCTCTCCCTCTCCCTCTCCCTCTTCCTCTTTCTTCCTTTCGGTAATTTTCTATATTACCTTCGCCTCTCCGATATCGACGATTTTGGTATCGTTGGATTCCTCTCACTCTATACAATGCAAATATGTAGGTTTTATTGCGCGGAAACCCCCCGTTAGCGGCAAACTTGGCCCCGATAGCAGGGGCGACGATGTCGGACGTAATATAGAAAATTACCCTAATAATATAACCCACAGTGAAAATAACCATGGTTATTCACATGACTTTCCATTGCGACCCCCTGAGGGGAGCTGCCGCCCACCAAACCCCCGTCAAGGACACAAAATATCCCCCACGTCTTCACGGCAGGATAGAGCGCACACGAACTAGATGCATCGAAAAAGGCGCAAAACCCGCCGAGCCGACGAGGGCGGGCCACCGCCGCTCTTTTGTTCATGGTTTACCTTGTTCATTCTGATTATACTACAATCGTATCTGTATACAATGCTGACTATGTCAAGGTTAGTATGCTGATTCAGTGGGAATGTTACGAGGTAATTGTAATACGTCCGGCGCTCCGAGATCGCCGATAACTGTGTAACGCTCTAGCCTGCCGTGAATACGTGGTGGAGGTTTTGTGTCCTCGGCGGGGGTACAGCCCCCTGCAATGGAAAGTCATGTGAATAACCATGGTTATTTTCACTGTGGGTTATATCATTAGTGTTATTCAACCCCGCATTTTCCCTGGAACCTTTCATGCCCTCCCCTGCTATCGGGGCCAAGTTTGTCGCTAACGGGGGATTCCGCGCAATAAAAACTATATATTTGCAATGTGGACAGTGAGAGGAATCCAACGATACCAAAATCGTCGATATCGGAGAGGCGAAGGTAATATAGAAAATTACCTTCCTTTCTCTCCCTCTTCCTCTTCCTTCCTTTCTCTCCCTCTTTCTTCCTTTCTCTCCCTCTCCCTTCTCTCTCGCTTCCTCTTTTCCTCTTTCTCTCACCCTTTCCTTCTTTCTCTTCTTCCTCTTCCCTCTTTCCTTCTTTCTCTCCCTCTCTCTCCCTCTCCCCTGCTCACTCTCCCTTTCTTCTTCTCTCCTTCCCTCTCCTCTTCTTCGGATAGAAAAGAGATGGAAGGAGACGGTGAGGTCAAGCTTTATTCTTTATTTAGTTTGAAAGTATCTGCGAGTACGGCAGAAAACACCCGATTGGTGTTCTGCGCATGCATGCGTTAGTTTAGGTTCGTGCTTATTACCAGGAAATAACGTTTATATGTGCATATTCTTATGCCTAACCGCGATAAATCGGATATAGCTGCCGTACGCGTAACACTGGCCTGTTTGTTTATATGCGCTTATATTCTTCTCGATTTTATAATTCTTATTCACCAACATTCGAGAGAGGCGGAAGAAAGATTTTCTGAATAGACATTACTATTTCAAAAAGAAAAATAAACTTTACTTTTGTACTTTATGGCCGGTGTTTTGCTAAGTTTCCATGCCTTTTCCTAAACCGTTGTATATTATTTAATCTCTTGCTCTTTGTTTCTCATTCTCTCTCACTCTCTCTCTCTCTCTCTCTCTCTCTCTTTCTCTATCACTCAGTTCTCCCTTTGTTCTCATTTCCTCTCTCCCTCCCACCTCCTATTTTCATCGCATGTGTTTTACTCCCTCTTTCCTCGCCCACAGAAGTCGACGGCCTCTGGGTCCGGTGAGCAGCGGGCTTCGGGAGGCAGTCCCGGCGACGAAGAGCAGCAGCGAGCAGGACCTGACCCAAAGGAGGGAGAAACGTCGGGATCTCGTCCCAGAGAGCCACCAGAAGTCCCTACTGGTGGTCAGGCAGCAGCAAAAGTAGAAGCAGAACCGGCCACCTTTACACCATCGCTCTCGCCTCTTGGAAAGTTACAGCCCAGTCTCAAGCTGTTTGTGAAGGAGTTGAACGCGCACATTTATGATGTCATCAGGATAAGCAATGAATTCCTCTCGATCACCGAGGTCAGCAACCGCCATAGCACACCAAGGGTAAGCTCCCAGGAGAGTCCGCAGGAGAACTCAGCAAGTCCGGGAGCTAACGAGGCCAGCAGCCCAGCAGGCTCGTCCGGCGAGAGGAAGGGATTTTTCGAGAGGCTGCTGCAGGCGGCGAAGATATTCAACGCCGATCCTTCATCCTGCGAGAGCAGCCAGACCAGCCTCGAGTTCGACAAGCTCCTGAGCCACACGAACGACATGGGACTCTTGCTCGATTTTATGTCTTATGGAAAGAGCGACGAGGACGTAAGCGGAGAAGGGTCCATGAAGCAAGAGGGCGAGCAGACGGAAGCTCTCCTGGACAGGCAGCTAAAGGAGACGTTGGAGATTTTCAAGATTTTTATTGAAAAGGCGCAGGAAGCGCTGCAAGACGTCAACGAAAGACTGAACAAGCCTTAAAAGATGAACTTCATGGATCTCTGTCTCCCCCCTTTTTTCTCTCTCCTATCCTAGTGTTTTTCTCTTGGTTCTTTATTTTCTTTAATCCCCTGCAATGATCTTTGGATTTCTTTCGCAATTACTACGGGAAATTTGCTACATTCAGGAAGATGCGCAAGGTCGTATTAATTCTATGTGCTTTCCCTTTCATTATTGTGAAAGAAATAGACATTGGTTATGTATCTTTATTAGTACGTCTACTCAGTTGCACATCTTTTTATTTCATTTATCAGGATTCTGTACTTTATATGTAAGAATGTTATAATGTAACTTGATGTTACTGAAGGGAATTCTAATTTATCTAGAAATAAAGGATTCTTCTAACTTACCTTTTACAGCCTTCTGTCGACCGTAGTGATGTGAACTGACGTCCATGGAAGTACACAAATGGTACAAACGCAATGAAGTTAGAACATCAATTTATGAGAAAAATGGAAAGTAGCTTAGTCATGTATGGCAGCTAAGAATACTCCTTGACCCCCACTCCTCCTATGCGAAAAGTTCATTATTCAGTCTATCCAATAGTATACATATTGCGCTAAAAGTGGGGGAAGAAAGAAAAACGAGAGATAGAGGGAAGAAAAGTTCCTTATAATGGAGTTCATTATATTTCAGTATATCCAATAGTTTACATATTGTACTCAAAGTGGGGAAAGAAAGAAAAAAAGAGATGGAGGGAAAGTCATAGCAGATAGAGAGACAGTCTGAAGAGGAGGGAGTATGAACAACAGGCTTTTACATCTTTTAGCGTAACAAAAGATGAAATCCTCATGGAAGCTGTTGTCCCTGTTTCATAAAATTATATTGCTTTAGGGTGACAAACACCCCCCCATTTCTGATATTCAAAGCAATGTATCTTAAAGATGTATAGTATATAAATGTATTAGCCTTTTTTTCTTTCTTTTTCTCTTTCTCTTTTAGAGTCACGGACCCCTTTGAGAATCTGATGAAAGCTATGAACTTTCCCAAAAGTATTCGCAGAAAGGAAGCATTGCATGCAATATATATAATGTACTTTTTATTGAGATTTTTTAGTGCCTCATACATACATGAGACATAAATTATTATTAAACTTTACAGTAAACAATCCAGAAAACACTAATAAGTGTTGATTTGGTATTATTGGAAATGGCATTGAAATTGTTCCGCCTCGTCAACATCTAGGGTCATTAGCAGCGTATTCAACATATATCGATAGACTAGTGCTTGGAGGAGGCGAAACCCCCCAAGTAGGAAGGGTTTTTTTTTGGGGGGGGGGCTCATAAAGCAATGTTTTTGGATTCACCAGACTGGTTAATGGCCAAGGTCAATAAACGTGCCAATCAAAGGTCATACAGTACTATGATAAAGTATTGAGGTGAAAATGTTAAAAATGAGAGCGATTAGGACAAAGTATATTTGATGTCAAAGGTTGAAGACCGTTGTAGGTTAGTAGGGCAGTGAAAAGGGTAAAGAGGCAAGGGCAAACAGAGTGCGAAGGCCGTTTAGGACTGACACAAAGCCAGCTTTCATCATCCTTTCATCACGGTTCTCATACCTTGGGAAGGGAAGACGAGAAGGAAAAAGGAAAGGGGTAGAAGAAAAGACCATGCTAAATTAGTTGAGACGAGGGCTGAGGATTAGGAAACCCAGAAATCCTCAAGAAATTCAAGAATCTTAATACCATGCAAATGTTCCATTCGCAGTAATCTTTTGCAAAATCTTGATAATAGCATTGAAGTGGTCTTTAAACAATCAGTAAAAAAGTAGCGTAAACTTCGACAAACACTAGTGCAGTTGAAGGGCAGTGCTGAGGCCCCTGCGCAGGAACGTTTCCTTAAGGGCCATGGTGTTTGATTAATAAACAACCTCGACCAGACGCAGAATATGATAAAAATATACCCAACTGATTTAATAATAGCACAAATGATTTATGCCACATTTTAGACGAAATCAACCACCCTTGCGAAAAAATCTGTGTGTACCTCATCGAGCAAGCTTTGAACTGGAAAACCCTGTCACGATTTTTTCATAAAACTTACTGTCTGAAAATAACGTAATTTTTAATTAATAATTATGTTTGGAATGCCTTTTTTAGCATTCAAATCTTTTTAAAAATCTGACAAGAGGTTTTATCGTTGACACAGTTTCGCAGTTATATGCTATGTGACCCCATGTGCCAAGTTTCAAACGATTTGATTGGCCTGATGGCTAGATTTTAGTACCTACCAGTGCTAGGGAATCTTTTTTTTTTTTTTTTTTGGGGGGGGATCAGGATTTTATGTATATTAAGCAAAAAGTACGGAGAAACAATTACCTATAAGTCACGCAATAAGGCTTAGATATAGTCTTGGTCAAGCATTGGATTAATAAAATAGCAACAGAGAATTATGAATTATGTTATGAATGCAGCTACAAGGTCAAGTGAATTACTTTAATCCCTATTGCTTATTCCCGCATTTTTTTTAGAAACGAACCTGTTAAAATGCCCAAGTAATTGTGGATATTTCTAGAAGTTAGTTTAAACGACAGTCAAATAGTTAATCCAGAAGTTAATTTATCAGGTCTTGACGAAAACGAAAAAACTTTTTTTTTTTTTTTTTTTTTTTTTTTAGTTCTAGTAACCTTAAGCAGCGTCATGTTTTATGGTAAGGTAGTGCATTTCTTGTGGAACCTGTAAGGTAACAAATGATAACAGCTTATTTTCTGAAACATTTACGATGATTGAATGGTTTTAAACGTCTTGGAGAACATTCGAAATCCCTCGAAATCTGGAAATCCGTCAAATCTGGAAATCCTGTTGAAAAAATGTGCAATTTCAGAAATTCCTGAAATCTTGTACGCTATTTTGGGTAGTGAAATGCAGTACAAGCAGTACTAAATTCGGCCTCATTAAGAATACAAGACTCGCAAAGAAGAAACGAGCCAGTCTACAAGAACTACTTTGTCATTTTATTGAAATTCAATAGTTTACCAATTTTCCCAAACTTTCCTGCAAGAGTAATACTTCAGAACTGAACTTACATGATAATAAAATTTGCTCTTTTATTGATTGTCAAAACTAAGAAACAAGGTGAACAAAGTGTCTTCATTTTTTCACTATTCATATTATGTGGACCTTCTTTCCCTTCGTTTGATGTTTCATTCTTGAAAGTATTTAGAATTAATTGTTAATTTATCGAAAACAATTATTAATTCTCTCCCTCTCTCTTTATGCATGTTTTTTTCTATCTCTTTGTCAATCTCTCTCTCTCTCTCTCTCTCTCTCTCTCCTCTCTTCTCTCTCTCTTCTCTCTCTCTTCTCTCTCTCTCTCTCTCTCTCTCTCTCTCTCTCTCTCTCTCTCTCTCTCTCTCTCTCTCTCTCTCTCTCTCTCTCCTCTCTCTCTCTCTCCTCTCTCTCTCTCTCTCTCTCTCTCTCTCTCTCTCTCTCTCTCTCTCTCTCTCTCTCTCTCTCTCTCTCTCTCTCTCTCTCTCTCTCTCTCTCTCTCTCTCTCTCAAATATGTGGTACACATAATCTAGTAATACATTAAACAATAATTGTAGCAGAGTAATTCAAATAAATAATACATATGATATACTAATACAATAAATGTAGTCTAGTCATTCAGTAGATAATGGTAATACAACAGTTTAATAAAATGAAGTCCCATCAAGCAAGTAACTAAACTATTTTAATGCTGGAATGTTGGATAGCATTTTGTGTACCTTTCACATTAGTGTTTCACACACCGAGAGTTTGGTCATTGCTACCTTAAATAAATCTATCCGACTTGAATATATAGACACCCCTCTGTTAGTACTGTGTATTAACAGTTACCTAATTCAGATGTATTCTTGCAACAATATAAACATTTTATTATTTCATATTCTTTTCCTTTTTCCATTTTTACATTTTAGAAACATTTTACTTAGAGGAATCAACAGGAAATTTACATATTCATAAAATATTAGGATGTATTAGGATAGAATAAAAGGGGTGTAAATACTGAATATCTTTAATAATTCCTTTTGCACAATAACATTTTATGAAAAAAAAATCAATTCTCCTTTACAAAATCTTTAGTTAGTACATATAAAATATAAAAGACAAAATGATGATGACAATATATTTATCAAGACACAAATGTATGTGAAACTGTGGCACCCTTAATGAAATTTGAACACAAACAGGTGAAAGTATAATTGTGACTAGATTAGCCATTTTCAATTGCACACTGAGCAGAAACAGAGAATTTGCATGGAAATTCCGAAAAGTCAAATCTGCATCATGTTCTCTTGAAAATACTTACTAAAGTATTTTGTTTTATTTTTTGTTTTCATTCTATCTTTTACATTCCATTCCAGTTATTCTTGCATGGCTCTAGACATGATTACTTAAATTGGATTAGCACAAGAAAAAATATATATCCATTTTAACAGCCAAAAGTACAATGAACATCTTAAACATAAAATTACACATTAGTGTGGAATGTGATACAGACTTAAAATGGACACAGAAAACACAAGCACACTCATATGAGATTTTAATCCATATAATGGAAATGCCAGAAATGTTCTAAAACTTGCCTGTGTGGCTAAAAATTACTTGAGAAAAAAGGTTTTACTCAAAATATTGATGATAAAGTCTAAAATATTCTTGACACAGTAAAAAAAATGAATTTACTTCTCAAAACTTTCAGTTACAATTACTTGCTTCACAGCAATCCATAACCTGGATGACATTATCAGTAAATCAAATAATAACTGGAACTGAAAAAAAATTATAATAAAAACAATATTCATTAATCATGAACAAAAATTGCTTACCAAACTGTTTCAAAATTAATTCAAATCAATGTTGTCTCTTCACTCTATTCATAGTAATCATGCCATCAAACTCAAAATTAAACTCAATATCTAAAAAATATAATATACATAAGCTTACTTAAAAAAGAGAAAATTGTCTTAAAAAAATAAAGGTACAATAGTGAATATATTATCATCTGGTCATTTTACTGGGGTCCTTAAATGGTCAAACGCATGCATGTCACAGAAATCATGAATCAGTAAGGGTGAGGGAGAGGTCAGGAGAGAGTGGAAGATGATAATAGAGAGGAGAGAAGAGGAGGAAGGAAGCGGGAGGAGAGAGAGGGAGAGGGAGGAGGAGGGAGGCAAGCAAGGAGAGAGAGAGAGAGAAGAGAGAGAAGAGAGAGAGAGAGAGAGAGAGAAGGAGAGAGAGAGAGAAGAGAGGAAGAGAGAGAGAAGAGAAGAGAGAAGAGAGAGAGAAGAGAGAGAGAGAGAGAGAAGAGAGAGAGAGAGAGAAGAGAAGAGAGA